CCTCCTTGAGCTCCGCCACCCTTCCCGAAGTTTTTCTGTCACCTGTGTTAGGCTCCGTCCCCTTTCCCCGTTTTATCCCCGTACCAGAAAAGGATACGTTTAGTGCCTCTCACCCAGCTCCACTAAACGGGTTGGATATCTCATTCTTTGAGTCGGGGTTCCTTCCCCGGCGCCTCCATGTAGCTGGGAAGTGGGACCTGGGGGTGGTTGGACCCCTGGGATCCTAAAGGAGGGGCAGGGAGGGCGCAGAACTCCGCTTCTGCTCCTTGCTACCAGGACGAGCGGCCTCCTCAGCCTCTTTCCTCCCGCTGCCATGCACCCTGCAGCCTTCCCGCTTCCTGTGGTTGTGGCCGCTGTGCTGTGGGGAGCGGCCCCCATCCGGGGGCTCATTCGAGCGGTGAGTCCGAGGGACGGAGGAGGCAAGGGCGCTGAAGGGAAGGGTTGCAGGCTGAAGGGGAACATTGCCTTTTTTGTCCGCAGACCTCGGACCACAATGCCAGCATGGACTTTGCAGACCTCCCAGCTCTGTTTGGGGCTACCTTGAGCCAAGAGGGACTCCAGGTGATTTTCTTTCTTTCTTTTCTTTCTTCCTCTCCTTCCCCCCCTTTCCTTCCTTTTCTGTCTTTTTTCTTTTTTTTAATATTTAGCAAGGTCTTCCATCCTGGGCTGGGGTTGGGGAGGTTTGTCCTGGGTGAAACTGGAGGTAGGAAAATCAAGTTAGGAACTGAGCACGTATAGTGTAGAATCCAGAATCCAGAGGGAGAAGACAAAGTGTCCACCCCTGGAACTCCGAGGTTATCAGGGAGACTGAAAGTGGACAGAGACGGAAGGTAGGATCAACGGTCCTTATCAAGAGGGTCTCGGAAGCTATTGCTTGTATGACCTTGGGCAAGTTAATTTCTCTTTGAGCCTTAATTTGTTTTACTGTAAAATGGGATATTTTAAGTTTTCCTAGGGTTATTGTGAAGATTAAATTAGATACGCAATTTTTGTAGTACTTCATCCCAAAGACTGCCACATAGCAAGAACTCAGTTCGGCCGTAGTAGCAGTGGAGTTGTTTGTGAGATGGGTAATTAGAAAATTGAAGAGGCCGGGCGCGGTGACTCACATCTGTAATCCCAGTTCAAGACCAGCCTGGCTAACATGGTGAAACCCTATCTCTACTAAAATTACAAAAATTAGCTGTGCATGATGGTGCATGACTGTAGTCCCAGCTACTTGGGAGACTGAGGCAGGAGAATCACCAGAACCCGGGAGGTGGAGGTTGCAGTGAGTCGAGATCGCACCACTGCACTCCAGCCTGGGTGGCAGAACGAGACTCCGTCTCAAAAAAAGAAAAAGAAAATTGAAGGGAAGGGAGTGTGTTCTGTGTAAGTGTTGGAGAGGAAACTGTGAAACAGAACTTGAGAGTCGGAACATTAGAAGGCAAAGTAATTGCATTAGCTTGCGGTTTAGGGTACAGATTAGCCCATCTGGGACAGCGAGAGGGATGATGGGAGAGTTTGGTGAAGGGATGTTTTATGTCATTACCTTTTCAAGAGGCTAAGAGAAAGTTGTGAGGTTGCGATGCTCAGACCCCAGGAAGGAGAAGGAAGTGAGGATAGAGGATGTGCAGCATGTGGGCTGGTGTGTTTGGTGGCCCTTGTAGAGAGTGAAACCTAGGGAGGAGAAATCTCACTGTTGTTTGCTTCCATCCTTCAGGGGTTCCTTGTGGAGGCTCACCCAGACAATGCCTGCAGCCCCATTGCCCCACCACCCCCAGCCCCGGTCAATGGGTCAGTCTTTATTGCGCTGCTTCGAAGATTCGACTGCAACTTTGACCTCAAGGTTGCTGAATGTGGAGTGGGAGCTGGGCAGCTGAGGGTAAAAAAAGGCACCAGGAATGAAGACAAGTCAGGCCTATGATGGCTGCTTGTCCTCTGCCTTGTCTCCCTAGGTCCTAAATGCCCAGAAGGCTGGATATGGTGCCGCTGTAGTACACAATGTGAATTCCAATGAACTTCTGAACATGGTGTGGAACAGTGGTAAGGCTGGAGGAATCTATACAGCTGGGCTTTCAGTTGGACCCAGAGATGGTGGGAAGGCTGAAGGCTTCAGGAAAAGAAGCCAATCCTTTAGGTGGGTTGGGGCGAAAGTGCCAGATGCCAGGGTTCCCAAAGGATTTGAGTAGAAGGTTGTGAGTCCCCAGAGTAACACCTTGATCCCTGCAGAGGAAATCCAGCAGCAGATCTGGATCCCATCTGTATTTATTGGGGAGAGAAGCTCCGAGTACCTGCGTGCCCTCTTTGTCTACGAAAAGGGGTAGGACATATGCCTCCTTCCCATTCTTCCTTCAGCAAGCAGTTCCATGCCAACCTGGAGCCCAGGCCTCATTACCCGAACCATTCAGCCTCCTGTCCTTCCTTCCCTGCCTCTTTGACTTTCTTCCCATTCCCATCCCCACCTATGGGCTTTGTCCAGAGCCAGTTGCTTTGTCCCTCTGTTTTTCTCCCTTTGCCTTTCTTGCCCTGCTGAGACTGGTCGTCCTTTCCCAGGGCTCGGGTGCTTCTGGTTCCAGACAATACCTTCCCCTTGGGCTATTACCTCATCCCTTTCACAGGGATTGTGGGACTGCTGGTTTTGGCCATGGGAGCAGTAATGGTGAGTAGCTGAGGGAACATGATGGGAAGCACTGAGGCCTATGAGGCCAGACTGGATCTGGAGTTGGGAGATGGGAGTGGCTTGTCCTAGATTGTCTAGTTTTATTCCTAAGCCTTGTCCATCCACCCCCTCTTCCACCAGATAGTTCGTTGTATCCAGCACCGGAAACGGCTCCAGCGGAATCGACTTACCAAAGAGCAACTGAAACAGATTCCTACACATGACTATCAGAAGGGTGAGGGGTTAGGGGAGGAGAGGGCTTTTCCCACCGTTTACCTGGTTCTGAAGGACTTTGAGCCCAGAAGATAGGGTATACAAAGATGGCAGTGGCTGGGCACAGTGGCTCACGTAATCCCAAGTGCCTGTAATCCCAGCACTTTGGAAGGCCAAGGTGGGTAGGTCGCTTGAGCCCAGGAGTTTGAGACCAGCCTGGGCAACATGATGAAACAAAAAAATCCCACCACTTTGGGAGGCTGAGGCAAGTGAATCCCTGGACCCCAGGAGTTCCAGGCCAGCCTGGGCAACGTGGTGAGACCCCATCTCTATAAAAAATAACAAAAATTAGCTGAGCATGGTGTTGTGCGCTTGTAGTCCCAGCTACTTGGGAGACTGAGAAAGGAGAATCACTTGAACCAGGAAGGCGGAGGTTGTAGGGGGCTGAGATTGCACCACTGTGCTCCAGCCTGGGCGACAGAGGGAGTCCCTTTCTCAAAAAAATAAAAGTAATAAAGATGGCAGTAAGAAATTTTCAGCTTGAGATGCTGTCTTGTCCTGTTTTTACCCATAAGTACAGTGAAGATGGGAGAGATGCAAAGCAAAGATGATTAAGTGAAATAATTGTGGCAAACAATAGAGGGACAGGCTTTGCTTATGGGGGATGTGGAGAGAGCAGAAAAATGGGAGGAATGGGGAGAATTCAGTTAGAGAAGGAAGAAAGTGGTACTGTGGGGCTGGGGCTGTAGGCCCTGGGGCCTCCAGTGCCCGTATAAGGTTATGGCAGAAGCCCTGCCCATTTCCGTCCCTTCCACTCCCTATCTCCACCCTCACACCTCTCCAAAAACCACTTCCCTTCTTACCTCTGCTTCTCTCTGCTTGTCCCTTTTAGCCCTAAATTCTTCCATGTTCTGCCCTGACCTTATCCTGCCTACCTGTCTTAGCTCTTCCACTGGCTTTGTAGGTGAGGGAAAATTTTCGCAAGGCTTGAAAAGCCTTAGCCCTGGGTCATGGTGGCTCAGTGAAGGACTAGATTATTTTCTTTCTGTCCCAGGAGACCAGTATGATGTCTGTGCCATCTGCCTGGATGAATATGAGGATGGAGACAAGCTGCGGGTACTCCCCTGTGCTCATGGTGAGGCCCTCACTGCCTGCCCATGTCCCTCTGCCACTGGCAGCCACCAGGTGCTTCACCTTGTTCCTCTCTGCAGCCTACCACAGCCGCTGCGTGGACCCCTGGCTCACTCAGACCCGCAAGACCTGCCCCATTTGCAAGCAGCCTGTTCATCGTGGTCCTGGGGACGAAGAGCAAGAGGAAGAAGCTCAGGGGCAAGAGGAGGGTGATGAAGAAGGGGAGCCAAGGGACCACCCTGCTTCAGAAAGGACCCCACTTTTGGGTTCTAGCCCCACTCTTCCCACCTCATTTGGTTCCCTAGCCCCAGCTCCCCTTGTTTTTCCTGGGCCTTCAACAGATCCCCCACCCTCTCCTCCCTCTTCCCCTGTTATCCTGGTCTAATAACCCTGTACACGTACACTTCTGGTGACCTATTTGCACAGACCGTCTTCTTCCCTCCAGTCTTCTAAGTTGAGGGATAGGGGACATTCCATCCTAAGCTGCTCCCTTACCCACACCTATCCTTTTGAGGGGCATTGGGGTGGGGCTGGGGCAAGCAAAGGGACTGGGTCTTCACTTCTAGGGCTAATAAAATTGTTTTTTGTGGACTAAGGAAGGGTGAGATCATTTTTAGGTGAACTTAACCCTTTGGGGGAATCACCCCTTTAGCCATAAGGAGCAAGAGAAAGCTGAGACACTAACCTATAGTCATGGGGACAGCCCCAGCAGGCATTTGCTATGACTCAGGGGGAGCCCCACCCACAAGGATGACTCAACTAGCCCTGCCTTGCCTGCAGGCCTGCACCCATTCTCTGGTCCAGATGGCTTTATTCCATTATCCACCAATTTAACCAGCACACTGAGGACTTAGGCCTGGAAATGCCACTGTGGAGGGGCAGGGCCACCTGGCTAGAAGCTCAAATTCCTGCACCTTGTAGTGGCTCAACCTTCCTGCTCCCAAGCCATGATAAAGGAGGCAAGTCACAGTGCCTGTCCCCCATTCTGACACCCAAGCTCAAATCACACAGCACCTTGTTAGAATCTTTTTTATTCAGAAAAAAAAAAAAAAAAAAAAAAAACCCAAAAAACAAAAAAGTTTTCCAATCACACACAGGAGGGGTATGGGTAGGGGGAGGTGTCTGTCCATCCAGCCCTGGTCCCCAGCCCATGTGGTTTTGGCAGCAATAAGGGGTATGGGGTAATGGCCCAAAAAATAAAATGGTGTATGTGTGTATGGGGGAGGAAAGGGGTGCAAAGCTGTGGGGAGCGGTGAAGGGGAAGGGACAGACGAGGTCAGTACTGGGAGCGCCGAAGGTGGGAGGCCATTTCATAACATTTCTTGTTGATCAAACCACCGTGGACACCTTCTTTGCCCATCAGCAGGACTAGCGCTGGAGGAGGAGGAAAGAGAAAGGAGGCTAGGACCCAGGTGTCACAATTCCACCCCCTGCCAGCTGTTCAGCAGCTGTCCAGCCCTGGGGGCTGTAACCCAACCTCATCTCTCCCAACCCCCCCCCAACACACACACACAGGCAGGCTGTCAGTCACCCTGAAACAATAAGGCTTTTCAAAAGAGGAAAATCAAGCTTAAATGCTGGAGAGGAACAGACTAAAAACTTAGGGGTCAAAGGCTCATAGACTGTTGACTCGTGTTCAGGCTAGAAAGGGCTGTGGACGAGCATGCCACCTCCAGGTGCTAACAAAAGAGCTCAAACGATTAACTAAATGATGATTCAAGACCCCAGCCATCTACCTATACTCCTAGAAAACAGTTTCTAATCCGAGCTCAAGGCAGGAAGTAACTTAAGAGGTAACGCAGTTCAACAACTTCGAATTACAAGATGAGGAACTGAGATGGAAATGGAGGGACTATCCCATGTTCCATCCAGCATCCAGCGACAAGGGGCAGAATACTGGTCTGACTCACTTCATGCTGGGGAATCACACAAGAAAGCACCCTCAAGATTACCAGAAGGCAGTACATGAGAGATCTTGGCGCTAGAGGAAAGGTAAGACTCAGGAACTCACTCTTGTCAGTCTTGGTGACAGTGACATTGAAGGTGGGGGCCCCACCGGTGCTCTTGGTACGAAGATCCATGCTAAACTCCCCATCCTGCAGCAGTGAGTCCCGGATCACCGAACATTTCTGGCCCCCAAGTGTCAGCCCATTGACGTAAAAACTTGACCGGTCTTTGCCAACCAGGACACCCACCTCAGCTGGCTGGAAGAGGAACCAAGCGCCCATCAAGTTAGTCAGTGCACCAAGATTCCCACCTTGTTCTCCAAAGACCCACCCCGCGAAGTTATATACTCAGTACCCATCAATGAACTGTGAGAAACTCTGAGGACTGTGGAACGTTAGTGCAGAAAACGATCATGATTCTCAAACCTAGAATATGGGACCAGGGAGGAAGGGATGACATACTCCTCTAGAGATTTAGATCTCAGTGTTAATGGGGGAAAGTAAACCCAGGAAATAAAGGGAATCAGTGGGAAAAGTGAGGAGTCTTTGGATGCTCAGAACTCTCCTTCAGGAAAAGCAGAAGCGGAGAGGGGAAGGGAGGGGGGCGGGCGAGGCAAGAGAAGCAACTTTGCCCTTATTTGGTCAAAGGTTCTGCAGGAGCTCTTAGGGCCCGGACGCCTGGGTCTCCAAGTAACCTAGTTTAGCTCCAGGTATGTCTGCCCTGACAAGAGGAAGCAGACCCCTGGGGGCTTTCCGGGAAAGTTGGAAAACTTTTGAAGGTGGACGGGGGCTAGACCCGGCAGGCCAGCTCTCGGGTCTAGGTACCCCAGGAACCTTTTCCCCCCTCCCCCTTTCACCCCA